GGTTATGGCCGCAAGGGCGGAAAAAACGGGCCTCCCCCCCCCCCCCCCCCCCCCCCATCGCGGGCTCCCCTTACCGCTCTGTCTCCGGCAGCAGCAACAGCACCGCAAACAGCAGCAGCTAGAGGCGGCAACGGTTCGGTGACGTACGAACTGTTCCTCAACGACGCTTCGGAGGCTAGAAGGCGTTTCGGCCCCGCGGGGGGCGGGGGTGGCGAAGGAGGCGGAATCCCCAGCGCGGAGGCCCGCATCGCCGCGCTCGAGAAGGCCCTGGGGGGCGGAGGGGAAGGGGCGGCAGGGGTCGTCGACGCTGGAAAGGCCGGGGAGGTAAGCAACGGTTTGGCAAAGGACCAAAAACAAATTCGTGCTCTGTTGTTTTGGTGGTCTGGTTGGTTGGTGCGAGGATTTGCTTGTGTGGGATGTAGGAGTCTTGTCTTGCCCCAGGTATCCCTGCACGTGCTCCGATCAATATCGGCTCTGGTTTGTGGTTGTGTTTTTCTACGCAGGCAGAGGTTATGTGCATATCCGCGCTCGTTCCCGGCAGGCTATTTTTCGACGATGTGTCATGAACGACAACACCCTGCCGCAAGCGAGTTTTCTACAAAGTTAATCGAACGAAGCGAGATTTCTAATCTGGCCTGAGGTCTCGCCGCAATATAGGGCCTCATCAAGACCAAAAAGTTTGCACAGCTTGTTGGCTTTATCTAGGTTTTAGAGTACATGACTTGGTTTTAGACTACAGGGGTCAGCAGCTGAACTTTTTTTTTCGGAGCACACAGCGGATTGCAGCAGAGAACACGCGCACTGTGCACAGCAGATAACACACGCACAGCAGACAGCGTACGCATAACAGGCGACACACACGCACAGCGGGCGACAGCATCTGGGCTCGATGCCGCTGGACTCTCTGTGGTGTGATTAGGCTATCTATTGCTGTCGCGCATGTTTTTTTTTGTTACCGCCGCTTCCAACTGCCAGCAATGTGTGAGCACAGCACCACATTAGTTCTCGAAAACCTAGGACGCCGATTGCCATCGCAACACTTCGAGCGTGTGCTCCATTGTGGTGTCTCTGGGCGTGATAGTTGTGTTGGGCATTGGGTGCTGCATGTGGCGAGAGCATCGTGGCGACGTGAAATCTGGTTTGGCTTTTGCGCCTGGCGATGCGGCCCGATTGCCCGGGCCAACAAAACGAAAGAACGAATTGGATTCCACGCCGCCACGAAGGTCTTCCCAGACACAGCACCCATGCCTAACACAACTCTCACGCCCCGAAATATCGCAATGGAGCACACGATCGAAGTGGTGCCATGACGATTGGTGTGCTATGTGACGAGAACTGACTCGTGTCCTGCTGTTTCGCTGGCAGTTGAAAAAACACAAGAAGAAAAGAGGGAACAGGGGGTTCAGCAATAGTATGCGCGGGGTACGTATGCCCACGAAAGCGGGGTGTGGACGGGGGGGGGGGGTGCAACCGGTAGGTGAAAGTTAACGTTACCAGCGCACAGCAGGTGTACAGTAGTATCAAAGTGTGTGGTGTTTGCGTTCTCTTTCCGCCCGTGGACGCACACGTCTGACGACAGTTACATCGGTCAGCTGTCGCTCGTTGTAGCGACAGCTAGTTTATCTCTTTAGATGGTATGCATACAATCACAAAGAGACTTGTACCCGTTTGAGACAATTCCACGGTCGAACGGGATGTGCTGAAGCCTTTATAGTAAGCGGGAGCAAAAACGGCTGGATACCAGGGCTTATCTCGAGTCTATTTATGCAGTTTTCATAAACGTAACGTCAATTTGTCTTGAACCCTGAGGCGCACGAGTCCAACCATTGTGGGACTCTAGAAGCAAGACGTTTGGGTGCGATGTATCCATACAGAAGAGGTCCGCGACGTTGAACCACAGTTGCTAGAGTGTTGGCGGCACTTTTTCTTTTTCTTTTTTTAGTATGACACAACGAATCCATCTCTATCTGAGAAAAGAGTCTAAGATAGATTAGCAATAGTGCGACCTGCATGGAAAATTCGGGTGACAATGGTTAATGTCGGAATTCCAAGTGCAAGATAGAAATTTAATGGACCAAATGAATGTTCGAAACTGCGAAGTATTCGAAAGCAATTCGAACTCCGCCCATGCGGCAACGTTTCAGCTGTAAGTCGGAGCCTCTTTTTCCAGCTTCGTGGCCGTGTTATGCACGTGTCTGACTCGCGCGTGCTCAACCCGCCACCTTCGATCGTCAACGTCATCGGCTTGAGAGCGGATGTTTCAGGCCTGATGATGAGGACGGGAGGGGCGGGAGGCCCTTGCACACACACATCACAGGGCGAGTACTACCCGTTCCAGATAAATACCACAGTCTTTTCAGTGTTGTTGTTGTTGTTGTTGTTGTTGTTGTTGTTGTTGTTGTTGTTGTTGTTGTCGTTGTTGTTGTTGTTTTCACATAAAAAACAGTTCCGGTCTCCGCTCAGTGCCTTCTAATGTCCGTACTGCTCCAACTGACGCGAACGTCTTTCCGTGGTCACAAGCCAACTGCCCTCAAAGGGGGGTACACGTTTCTGTTTATAACTTAAAACCGAAGCCCAGAAAATTCCTCCAAGGCGCGATTTCTTTCTTTTACCCAAACGAAAAAGAAAAAAAAAAAATGAAAACTAACCGGGATACAGACGATCGACCCCGGTCAAAAGGGATGAAAGAACGGTAGACCCTGAAAGACAGAAAAGAAAGCGATAAAGACAAGGAAAAAAAAAAGGAAGGTAGACATGTCCCCTCCAACGCTCCAGTGAGCGGAGGAAAAACCGACTGTGTCCTGTTTCTTTTTTCACCATTTGTTCTAGCCTATACTCTATATATTCAGTTAACGCCCGCAATCAAGATTTTTTTTTTTAAAGAAATAGAGGCTCACTTTTCCACGAACAATATGAAAACAGGGTTAAGAAACATAGTTCAGTTTGGGTCACACAATAAGAAATGTCATGTCATGTCATGTCTCAATAAGAAAATATAAGAAACAGCGGCGACGGCTGCCCTACTACGTAAGAAACGAGGGGTCGCGGGGGAGTGTGTCGAATAAGAAACACCCCACAGCTCCTCCTAACTCTAGCCCTTTCCTCCCTCTCCCACTACCCCTCCCCCTCCCATAGATGGCGGGTGGTTTCCGTTGTTGGCATGTCAGCGTGCGGGTGAGACTATCATGCGGTGTTTATGCACTTTTTTAGTTTCAGCTCTCACTCATGAGGGGGGTACAGGACCTTGCAGCGACAGCGAGACGTTACCGCTGAATACATTTCGCTTCTAGGGACTGGCCTTGTGTACAGCCGTCGGTAGTGAGAATCGGGGTTGAGTACGGGAGGCAAGGAAAGGGGTGCAAATCGTTTGTTTATTTTGAACGTTGTGTAGTTAGTAAGCAAGCAGAGAAAATAAGAAATTGCCGATTTCAGAAATTCAGCAGGATTTGGCGGCACAAAAGAAAAGAAACTTGACATACGAAATTGAACGACATACGCTGAGTTTATAGCCCACAATAAGAATTCGAGGCTGGACCTGAAATATGTGTTTCTGAATTGCAGGCGCCAACTGTATGTACGCTGCATTGTTTTATTTGTATTTTATTGTTTTGTTGCCCCTTGTGGCCGCTGTCTTGGTTGTTTCAGGTTGCGGGCCCTCTCGCCGAGGTAGTGGCATCTCTCGAGAAGCGCGTGTCCGTCCTCGAGCCCGGCCGTCTGGACGTGCTGAGGCAGAAGGCGCAGCTCGCCAAGTCGGAGCTGGACGCCCTGGCCAAGTCTCGCTCTGCTCCCGCGTCGGGATCGGCTTCTTCTTCGTCATCTGCTCGTGGCAAGAAGGCGAGGAAGCTTGGTGGCGGCGTGTGTGCGTTTGCTGTGCTTCTTTTGGGGGATATATTGTGGGCCTCCTGCCGTACATGCGTATGGGCAGCAACACCGCGAAGTGCCCCGTGCTTTTCTTTTTTGAGATAACCGGTTTTCGCGTGGGTTGTTGTTGTTGTTGTTGTCTTCACATTAAAAACCGTTCCGATCTCTCTCTACCTGGGTAACGCTCCTCGAACCCCCGACTTTTGGGGGGCGAGGCGCTTCGCTCTCCGTGTGGAGTTTCTGTTGCACACCAATTCATGTGTCCACCCAGGCAAGCGCTCAATCCTAACGGCAAGGCGATATTACTAGCATATGCGTTCGCAGCGCTTCGAAGCGCTCTTCCACCGCGCTCATTATCGAGCCAAATACACCATACTATTCATACATTGACGATATCCGAAACGTCATGTGTGGGTGCGGTCGCTTTGCATTTTGTTCATTGCAAGGTGGAAGAGGCGTTCGCCACCCTCGAGAACTGGCAGGGGATAGCCGCCGGCCTCCCCGCCCTGGTGGATCGCCTCCAAGCTCTGGAAACTCTGCACCTGGCCAGCGCGTCCTTCGCCCAGCGGCTGGAACAGGTGAAGACGGAAAATAGGCCGCTGTGCGGCGGGGGTTGCAAACGTCTGGCAAGCTTCCTTTTGTTGAAGTATCCTTTCATATGCTTCCGTTCCCCACGCCCGCGCGAGTCTGGTCCTCCCGGTGCAGTGCCTCACACGCGTGTGTCACTGCTGTGATTGCTCGCAATACTTGGGAGAAGCTGCTCTGGTGAATCTAGCCAGCGCGTTGCTCGTGCGGTCGCTGGATTGTCTTACGCTGGCCTTCAAGGGGCGGAAAGCGCGGGAGAAACCATGCCGAGCGTGCGCGCGTCGACGAGGCGGCGCTTGTTATTCTTGCGCCCACTAACTTTCGAGTGTGTGTTTCGTTCACCACCGCTGCGATTTCTCCCGTCGTTGAGCATTGGCTCCCCCGCGTGTTGGGTATGAAGTACAGAATCTCATCGTTCGAGGGAAGTTGTGTACCAAGTGAAGCAAGTTTGTATGTTGCTAATCTACCCGTGCCGATCGCACCCATTTGCTTTTAGTTTTCTCAAAACCCCGTGTGCGCGCATAACCGGCAGCGCCGTTTGAGACCCTCTCGAGTCTTGTGTCTATGCCGTGGCGGGGTTTCTTGACGCAGAATCGAATGGCGGGGCATTGCCGATTTCGCGTCGCAGATAGCCTCAGGCAACCATGCGGGTCCTCTTTTATCAGATTCTCGTTTCTCTTAAGGTGGTGTCATGGTCGTGATACGGGACAGTGCCCGGAACGAGGACGGTTTTTGTCATTAAGAATGCGGCCAAAGCAACGATGGCAATCGTTGCGTAGCCTACTCAATCTGACATAGACGAGACTAGAGGATGTTGACTCGCGGGACAAAAGCCAATCGTCGCCCCGACTGTTCGCGCAGAAGACTTGAGCACCCCCAGAACGATCCCATTCTTCTGTGCGCCCGGCCTCTGCCCGCGTCAGGTGGAGACCGGACAGACCGAGCTGGAGGGGGTCTTGAAGTGCACCAACGAAGGGCTCCTGGACACCCGAAAGAGCTCTGCGGAGAACGTGTCCATCGTGAACGAAAACGTGAAGGCGCTCGACAGACGGCTAGCCGGGGTGGGGCTGACGGCGTAGTAGTAGTCTAGGCGGGGGGGGTCTTCGACGACGGAAGGGTTGATGGGCGGAGCGTTGTTGGCGGGAACCACCTTGGACATGACGGACCTGCTAAATGTATCCTTGAGCGGCAGCAGCTACAGCAGCAGCAGCAGCAGCAGCAGCAGCAGCAGCAGCAGCAGTCAGTGCCGAGGAACGAATGTGAACAGTTGTTGGCGATGAAGGCGGTTTGCCGCCGACAGGGTCGACAGCGTCAAGTGCGTTTTTTCCCGTGTCTCACCCCCGGCGAAGAAGGCCCTAGGTTACCGAATTCTCCAAGCGCAGCCCACACGTCTTGTTAATGTGCGGGTTGGATGTGGGATCCCGTTTTCTGGGCATGCTGCACTCGGTGGTACCATGCGGAGCTTTCTTGTCGAGTTGGAAGATGGGATTGGTGGCTTGCATGCGATCAGCGGAAACATTTTCGTTTAGTCAAGCGAGAATGGGCAGAGTGAGACGCTTGCAATCGGCCCGCTTCGCGGCGCAAGGTCCCTTTTCGACAGTCAAATTTTTGGGCGGCATTTTTGAGTGGCAGGGTACGTCGGAGTCGTGAAGGTGGAGCTTGTCGCTGGCTGGTGGCATGGCGCAGGCAAGCCAAACTCATTGTTGACGACAGGTTCGAAGTGTGCGCAGTCGGTCTCACGCAAGACGCGTGTTTCGTTTGGGTCTCCTGGACGGCAGCACCGACCGCGTCATGTGGCTGACCAATGAAACTATGTCAGTCTTTTGGGGCGGTTGTCGTGTTCACGTACCGTAAGGTTGCGAGTCAGCGCACAGGGGTGCGAACGATTTTCAAAGCGTAATTTCTCCACAACCAGGAGGTTACCACTGTCGAGAGGTGCGGGTTTGGAAATATCTCATCAAGAGCTTTACTGTGGGTATATCTCGAATGGGTAGTCTTTCTGTGTGTGTTTTTATTGTTCCTTAATTTCCTGAGAACTATCAGTTGGCGCTCGCACCCTCCTGGTTGTGTAGAAATTACGCTTTGAAATCGATCGCACCCCTGTGCACTGACTCGCAACCTTACGGTAATCTGCGTGGCTCAACACCCGTCTATGGCCTAAGTTGATCCTTGCTTCGAAGCTCTCGATGGTTTAGAACGACTGGCTGGTGGTGCTTTCATGACGTGTTTCGTCGAGTTTCGGCACGAGGTGCTGCTACTCACATGGTAGGAACCAATTTTCACCGGTTTCAGCAATCCTACAACCGGCATACAAGGAAGCTTTTCCTACTACACTGCAACACAATTGGCCCTAGGCTAAGTAAGAACAAAGAAAAGTAATCCAACGGCCCACGAAAAGCACGCAGATCGGGAGGTGTCTCACCTCCGCTAGACACTTCATGCTGTTTGGAATGCTGCGTACATAAGCGCGATGCGGGGGAAGTTTGTCTCCCACCCTCTGTTTATATCCAGCGCGTGACCGAAGTATGTGTTGGTGTTTCCGAGAGGAATTGATCTTCGACAAAACGGCGTGAAACAACTGCCCGTAAAATTCGAATTGTATGTAGCAATAGATTCAAAATACGCGAGCAGTCTAATGCTATTAGTCTAATGTTCCTAGAATCGTACCCACCGAACGGCGGAAACGGTGCAGGTTTGGTGCAGCCATGGCTGACGGGCAAAATATATCTGTTGCGCCAACCTGCCCCCCGGGGGGGGATTAGTGTCTAAATCCCCCCCGTCTGTATCTCCGCCCACAAGGCGCCAATCGAGCCAGGACATGCACGGCTGTGTTGCTGTGATGTAGGGCTATCGTGAGACCCACCGAACGGCGGAAACGGTTCAGGTTTGGTGCAGCCATGGCTGATGGGCAAAATATATCTGTTGCGCCAACCTGCCCCCCGGGGGGGGATTAGTGTCTAAATCCCCCCCGTCTGTATCTCCGCCCACAAGGCGCCAATCGAGCCAGGACATGCACGGCTGTGTTGCTGTGATGTAGGGCTATCGTGAGACCCACCGAACGGCGGAAACGGTTCAGGTTGGGTGCAGCCATGGCTGATGGGCAAAATATATCTGTTGCCCCAACCTGCCCCCCGGGGGGGGATTAGTGTCTAACCCCCCCCCCCGTCTGTATCTCCGCCCACAAGGCGCCAATCGAACCACGAAACACCGGTAGAAGTGTGTGAAACATGCGCGTAGAGCACACAGCAGCGGGCAGCAGATGAGGCGACCAACACATCAAGTATTACTGCCCACAACTTTTCGCGCACCCAATGGGAACCGAACACAGCCTTCTTCTCTTCTTGAGGCAGACTTCCTTTAGCTACACGAGCATCCCGCTGCTCCATGCAACCCTTCAAGGCTTCCGTCGACACACAAACACCGGTAGAAGCGTGTGGAACGTGCCCGTACAGCACACAACAGCGGGCAGCAGGTGAGGCGACCAGCAAATCAAGTATTCCTACTCACAGCTGAAAAATAACATAAAAAACGCACGTGTGCATGTCCCGGCTCGATTGCCGCCTTGTGGGCGGAGATACAGACGGGGGGGGGTTAGGCACTAATCCCCCCCCCGGGGGGCAGGTTATCCTCGAAACCGCTATATTCGCAAAGGGCGTAAGTTCGAATCCCCATGGGGTGAAAAATTTACGAAATTTGCGGGTGAAAGGGAAAAACAGTTGAAAAGCTCTCGTGAGTACCACACTTCGACGTTAGCACCGTTGACGAGGAAAAGGGGCGGCTGGACCCTTGTCGCGACAAAAATAACATTGAGCACGCACCGCAGGAGGAAGGTGGGGCACGAAAATAAATAGTCTGGTGTTTACCCACCTTCTGTGTGACCCTGGATGGCTGCAGCAGTACGAAAAAATATACTGACAAGTGTAGTATACACTGAAGAGTGTAGTCAGGTCAGACCACGAAAAAATGAGGACTGTCGCCATAATAAATAGGACGAAAACACAACACTCACACACGACACCGTAAACACCGTTCCGAAAACACCTCCAACGGGCACGTCGAAACTGACCGTGAAACACCGTAAGCACCTCCAGTATTTTCGACACCGGGCGAAACGTTCCGAGACCATCCAATGGGCACAAACCCAATTTGGGTGTGTTCCCACGGCCACCAGCTGTCGCGCAAGTCTTCATTCCGCCGAAACCAACACACGGTTGCCGCTACACATGTAGACCTACATATTGCCTTCCTTAAGCCGACCGAATGAGCGCGCAGGGTGGATTGGCTTACATAATCCACAGAGAAGCTATATTCATCACTGCATACATGAATGGGAAACCTAGCCACGTTGGCAAGCATTTTCGTCAGCACTTTGGCCAGCGCACAGCACCCAGAGGTCCATACAGGCGCCCCCGACTACCATGAGTAGGGTAAACCTCGGTGGTGGAAGGAGTGGGGTCGAAAGCGAGGGCACCCCTCGTTGTCGTGCACCAGGAGGCCTTCTCGTCGAGGGAACGGATACGCATCTGAAACTATTATCTGCCGGTTCAGTAGCACGACACGGGAGTGAAAGTTGGGCTAAAGTTCTGTGACATCCCAAAGGAAAATGGCAAGGGTCGTTGAAGAAATAGAAGTCCATGGAAACACGGCCTTCACAGTGTTGCTCGTGACATTCATAGGCAGGGCTTTCGGGTTAGGGCTTTCGGGGTCCGAAGTTCCGTGTTAAACCGAATTCCAACTCCTTCAAAACATTCTGTTGCACTGTCGTAACCTAACCCTACTTAAGAACGGCACTCCTTCATTCTTGTCCATGACATTCAAATCGAGGGTCGTCTGTGCCCAAAGTCCATGTGTGAAACCGAGTCCTGCCTCACACACGTAAATCTCGCTGGTGTGATCGAATCAGAAGCACATCATCGCAGCCAAAGATGTTTTTCACGGTCAGCTTCGAGGAGGTGTCCTCGTCGAAGGAACCGATGCGCATTTGAAGCCACAACTACGCCTTTTCAGTACTTCACTATCACGACACGTTTGATGAACTGGATGTGAAAATACTGGGAAATCAACACGACATTGCAAGGCAAACTTGTATCATGTCGGCGAAACATTTCGACCCCATGGAAACGGGAATGACAAAATTCACTCGTTCCGTCCACGAAATTCCCAGCAGATTCGTCGATATTCGGAGAAGTACCCTGCACTATGTAAATGTCCCCGCAATGGCCATTCTCCGAAGCTTAGTTCGCTTCAGGGTTTGCGAATTTCGTTTCCAGTTCTCGTACAGCTCTTGTTTTCCAGCTCAGGCCTATTGCCTATTGTGAAGTGCTCCAATCCGTTAGCGTGCTTCAGGGTTCGCCGGAAAAGATCCAATTTCAGCTGCGAGCTCTTCGGCTTTAATCCAAACTTCCTGGTGCGTGTAGGTGCCGGTATCACCCACTCGGCGAGATCTTGAGACCGTTCTGGCCAGATTGGCCATACCTGCTCCACACGCCAAATCCTACAGTACTCTGCACAAATCCGCGCACCCTGTATTGATGCGACGGCCAATCGTTGTGAGGATTGTACCACCCACAACCAACGCTTGTCCTTTCCTGGCTTGCCGAATAGTCGTGGCTCGTGGGAGACCAACGGTGTTGCGTACGGGGTGATACGTACATGTTGCGTGTTATGACCTACCATGACATAGCACTTTCTTCTGTTTTCCGTGTATTTTTCAAACGGTATTGCCATTTTCGACTCCGATCTCGTAAAACATTTTCGCGACACACCTCGAATAATGCTTCGAAACAACATCCTATGCGTTACTGCGGCTCTCAGCTATCGTGCAAGCCTTCGTTAGTCTCATAGTGACCGGTGGGTGCCGAGATATGGCCCAAAATGGCATGTCACGGCACCACCTCGGCGGTGTCGACAAAAAAATGCCTATGTACGACACCATCAATCACTTCAAAAGCACCCCCCCCATACGCACGATTACAATTGAGCTGTGTTCCCAGGCCCCCGGCCGTCGCACAAGCAAGCCGTCATTTCGCCGACACCAACATGTGGTGGTCGAGGTACGCCTAAGAATGTGGCCGCAGCACCAACTCGGCGGCGTCGTACATCAGCCCATGTTTACGACACCGCGCGATTCTTTCCGAAATACCTCCAATGGGCACAAACCAATGTTCCTGTGTTTCCACGGCCCCCAGCTGTCGCGCAAGCCATCGTTCGGCCGAAACCAAAATGTGGTTTCCGAGATACGCTCGAGAATGCGGCCGCAGCACCACCTCGGCGGTGTCGTAAGTAAGGCATATTTACGGCACCGCGCGAAACTTCCGAGAACACATCCGATCGGCAGAAAACCAACTTTGTTGTGTCCCCACGGCCACCGGTTGTCGCGCAAGTCGTCACTCGGCCGAAACAAACTTGCGGATGCCGTTATGCATGCAGACCTGCATATCGCCTTCCTTAAGCCGGCTGAACTAGCGCGCAGGGTGGATCGGCCACATCATCCACAGAGAAGACTCTCGCCATCGCTGCATACAAATGA